GTGGGGCTCCAAGGAGACAGAAGGTCATAATGAAGAAACCAGGCCACATGCGGAAAGGCAGATCCTCCCTGCCTCAGGAGCCTGAGGCTCCATGACAGTGTTCAGAAAGGAAGCTGAGAATGTTAGACAGACACCCATAATGAGGGCCTCCTATGACATTGGTGATCTTCCCTGTAGGCCACAGAGTATCTGTAAAGTGGATAGGGACACAATCAGATTTGCATTCTCAGGTGAACACACCAGTTAATTCTGGCATAGCCCTATCTACATAATCAGCCCTAAACTGCATCTCTGGTGTTCTCTCTCATTGCTGCCCCTCCCAAATTCAATGTTCCAGCAAGACAGAGCTTCTGCAGTTTCTCTCATATTTTATGAGGTGGAGGTCTAGAGCAATAATCCCGTCTCCCTGTGGGCTCACTTCCACACATCCTTCAGACCTGAGCTCCAACATAATTCATTCCACGGCCTGATCTAAGGAAATGGGCCTGAGGCTTGGGAAAAAGAGCCAGATTAGAGAAGAAATTAGGAGGTTGATCTGGTTGCTTCTTTCAAAAATGTGGGTTTTGGAGGAGGTTCAAGTTTGAAAAGGAAGGATACAGCATTCATTTTGGGAGTTATTGCTTTCGAGATGCCCATAAACATACAAAAAGAAATAACCAGGACAATTGTATATTCTGAAATCCAGAAGAAAAATCTGAGCTGGAGATAGTTTCCAATCTATCAGCACATAAGCAGTGGTGTGTCAGTCATGTCCCTACACTTCCTCTGTCCATAGAATGGAACTATTGATGAAATACAGAATTCCCCACTTGTACACTAATAAAAAAAAATTCTCTCTGCTGCTTTAAAATATTTTGAGCTTTGCGAAGAAACAGGATATAGGCTTTCCTGTGGAACATTTTGATGGATCCTCTTTCTTTTTTTTTTTTTAATTGATATTTAGAGAGAGGGGAAGAGATTGAGAGAGAGAGAGAGAGAGAGAGAGAGAGAGAGAGAGAGAGAGACCATACCGATTTGTTGTTCCACTTATTCATGCACTCATTGGTTGATTCTTATATGTGCCCTGACGGGAAATCGAGCCCACAACCTTGGCGTACTGGATTCTCATTCTTGAATTTAAAAAATGATGATGACAATAGCAGCTGGCATTTGTTGAGCCTTTATTACATTTCAGACTCTAGATTAGGTGGTTGAAGATGTAGGATATATATCTGCAAGGATCTTTTTCAGATTACTTAAAGTCATTGCAACATATTGCTGATTTGTTTTCTAGAAAAGATCCAAACAGGCATTCTCAAATGACCACATGCTAGAATTGAAGTTGGTTGATTCTTCTCTGGTTTCATTAATGGGACGTGATATCCTTTGTCTTGTCCTCACTGAGTCCTGAAATAGTGTAGAATAAATGATATATGGTAAATCGAAGGACACCAGGCAGACTGGTTAAGGTGATGAACTAGAAATGCACTGGGGTCGCCCTGTGTAGGTTTGAATCCTGTCCACTAGGATGGTTGATTTTTTATGTTCAAATACTCTCTGCCCAGGTACAAAAAAACAAGTTGAGACAGAATTTACATACTGATATTTATTTCTATTTTTTTTAATTTGGTTTTTTATTACATACTGATATTTAGAGCAACAAAGTAATTCTACTATTTCCTTTCTCAGTATATGTAAGATAAACACAGGCGCTGTTTGGGCCAGTGGCGCAATGGATAACGCGTCTGACTACGGATCAGAAGATTCTAGGTTCGACTCCTGGCTGGCTCGGGCTTTTTTTTTTTTTTTCCTTGTTTTTTTGGTGACCCCTTTGAGGTCCCGGGGTTTTGTATTATGTATATTTTTATTTTTATTTAATTTTAAATTGTATTCTATATCTTTTACACAAAATGACAAAATGTTAATAATATAGGCTCCAGCTTATAGTTCACAACTCATTTTACATACATAGATTTTCTTTAAATCACATCACTAAATTGTTTTCAAAACTGACCAGTCTTCAAAATAGTCTTTCTCAACTACATGTTTTAAGAGCAGTTACAGGTTCACAGTGAAACTGAGAGGAAGGTACACAGGCATAGCTTCCCCCATTATTAACATCCCCCACCAGTGCTACATTTATTACTATCGACGGACCTACTATATACATTGACACATCATAATCACCCAAAGTCCATAGTTTTCATTCTTAAATGTACATTCCATGGGTTTGGAAAAAAGTATAATGACATGTACCCATCTTTACTGATTTTTTTGGGGGGGAGGGTGTATGTGCCCCTAGGGGAAACTGAACCCGGCACCCCCTGGTCCACAAGCCGAAGGTCCAACCGCTGAGCCAAACCGACCGGGTCTGTATGTGTCTTTATAGTATCATGTAGAGTATGTTCACTGCACACATAAAAATATTCTGTGCTTTATTTACATCCTTCCCACACACCCCTGCATTGTACTGTATCCATAGTTTTGTCTGCAATGTGTATCCTTTCAGATTGGCTTCCTTCACTTATTACTATGCATTTAAGTTTCCTTCATGTTCCATGGCTTAGTAGCTAATTTCTTTTTAATTATGAATAACATTCCATTGTCTAGATGTACCAGTTTATTGATTCATCACCTACTGAAGGCCATTTGCTTGTGTCCAAGTTTTGGTTGTTATGAATGGAGTTGCTCTAAACATCTGTGTGCAGGCTTTTGTGTGCTCATACATTTCAAGTCCTTTGGGTAAATAACAAGGAGTGCAATTGCTGGATCTTAATGTAAGAGTATGTTTAATTTTGTAGGAAACCACCAAATTGTCTTGACAGTGGCTGCACTGTTTTGCATTCCCACCAGCAATGAGTGAGAGTTCCTGTTGCTCCACATCCTCACAGCACTTGGTGTTGTTAGAGTTATGGATTTGGGGCATATATGTAGTGGTATCGCACTGTTATTTTAATTTGCATTTCTCTCATGACATGATGTGGAACATCTTTTCATATGCTTAAAAAAAATGGGCCAAAGACAGACATTTCACTAAAGAAGATACACACATAGTAGATAGCAAACCTTGTTAGGTTTTTCTTTCTGGTATACAGCAAATTTTGTTAAGTTTTTATTTCTAGCCTGTTTACATACACGTAATTTATAGCATCAAACATTTCACAAGATTTGTAACAAAAGGCAACAGTACCGAAGCAGATCTATCTATTTGAGAGGGAGGGTAAAAGGTAAGCTTTACCTTAGCAGAGGATGGTTTCGATCCATCGACCTCTGGGTTATGGGCCCAGCACGCTTCCGCTGCGCCACTCTGCTGTAGAAGAACCTACCCTCAAAGTTAATATTCAGCTTGTTTTGGGGTTGACCTTTTTCTTTTTACTTATTTTTCTAATCTTTAGAACTAACTGTTTTTTTTGTTTTTGCTTTTTACTTTTTCTCCAGATTAGTAATCGGTCTTGTGCAACAAGATGGCCATGGGTCTGAACTAACTCCTAAGAAAAGAGTTAATAACAAATGGGAACAGCACAAAGACATGCTTAGATACTATTGTTACTGTGTACATGACATCTGTAACTAAATGTCTGCTGATACCCAAACATCGTGTTTTAAAATCATTCTAAATTATACAAAATAATGAACTCATGAAATAAACACTCCTTCCCTTTCTTCCATGCTCTAACGTGATGGATATGGTTCATAATGAGGGGAAGGGGAAGGGAAGGGGGCACCGCCGGGAACGGTTCTCGAGCCCGATGAGAGGGGAAAAAACGCACATTTCTGCACCTTAAAAAAAAAAATAGAGTTTTAGGGTGTTCCCGGAACTTCTAGCTCAGAAGACTAACTTTCTAGTGTAATAGTTTATTCCCTATAAACTCAATTGGGAGTGGGGTGGGGGACCCGTGTTCAAGTTCTCTGGCATGGAATAGCTGATCCAGGCGTGCACCAGGTGAACCAGATTAGCCTGAGGTCTGCAAAGCTTCCGAAGGTTGGAGAGAGAGACTGGGATGAAGAGGATCCTCCAGTACTGAAGTGAATGTGGAGGGAAGGCAGGGAGGGTTGGGATTATGGATGAGAGGGTGAAGAGTGAGATTTAGAATGTTTGCGACAAGAGTTAAAGTGTCTCTTATGGGCCCAGAAATAAACCCACCAAACACAGTAACAATATTGTGTATTCCTCTGTATACTTGCCTATTTACTTACTTTGTTAAGACGTTTAAGGAGGGCATCCAAGATCAAAGAAAGCAGGAAAGGCATTTTTTTTTTTTTCTTCAAGATCGAAGAAAGCAGGAAAGGCATATATATATTTTTTTTCTTTCTGGATAAGATTTAACTTTATAGACCAAAAACCTTTTCCCTCCTCCCTTTCCCAGCACTAAAAGCAACTGACCCCGACGTGATTTGAACACGCAACCTTCTGATCTGGAGTCAGACGCGCTACCGTTGCGCCACGAGGTCCCATTGAGCTATTGCAATTTAAATCTGTCCACCTGGTCTATGGGATTAATTTTTGATACTTAATGTAAACTTTGCAGTTGGATATGAATTATACCTGGCTCCCTCCTCCAACAAACCCCTGATCCAATCTGCCTCCGAATTTCTTGTATATGCACTCGTTCCAATTCTATTTTATTTTCTTACGGAGTATATATATATATATATAAATATTTGTATATATGTATTTAATATATATATATGTATGTATGTTTGGGGGACTTTTGTTGGTTTCTGTTGGTGGCTATGGAATGGAGTGGGAGAGGTAAGGGATCTGGGTGAATGATGTGTTGGGCTATCAGAAAATAAACAACCTGGGGAGGAAAGTGTCTGGAGGTCTGGTGCTGCCAGATAATTCAGGCTGTTGACTAAAAACTGAAATGTGTACTTTCTTCACCTACCCCAAAGGCTTGCTGTGAGTTTACATATGCAATGTGCTTAAAAAGATGCCTACCCGGCACGCAGTGAGCTCTCAATAAATGCTGGTGTAATTACTATCAGTACAAAGTTTGCTGAAATTCTGCATTTGCCCACATCGCCAGCCAGGTTTGGCAGAGATCATGGTAAAACTTAATGTGGACGAAAACGTGCTACCTGGTAATTTGGCAAGGTCAGGGGGGGCCTGCGGGTGACCTTGCAAACTCAAACGCTAAAGTAACCACAAAGGATGGTCTGAAATTAGAACTTTTTAACTAAAAGCAGTTTATGGCAGGTAGTTATGTCCTAGGCTGGCATGTTCCTTTACAAAAGTAAATCCTTGTCTTAACTGAGTTTGTCTATTGTCTTTTTGCATCTACGATTACAAATCTTTGGAATGTTAATTTTTATTTTTCAGGACCCCTCAAAGCACATGCACCACTCTGCTGAGACCACAAACCCTTTCCGAATGAGGCACGAGGTCTCCACAGCAGCTGCTGCAGGTGCGGTCTGGCTCCGTCCTCTACCCCAGCACCTTCCTGCGTCCCCCATCTCTCCCCCGCTCCCCACAAACCCAGCAACTTGAACAAGATTGCTTGGCTCTGGGAAGAGGGTGCTATGCTCACCTCAACACCTGCCCAAACCAACCCCAAGCGCGCGGGCGCGCACACACACGCTTCTGTCCTCCTAGCTAGCAGCAAGGCCACAACGCAGAGGGAATAGCAAGAATGGGGGGGAGTATGTTTCCTTCGAGAAGAGAAAAAGGAACTAAAAAGGCCAGATAATCCCAGAAAGCTAATTCGCAGCTGTGCCTGTTTAATGCTTCAGCCTTTTCTGTGTATTCTACCCAGCAACTGGTGAGGAGTAGACTCGGGGATGCCATTGGCTGGCTGGCCCGCCGCCGGCCAATCCTGGACTCCGAACGGTCACTGGAAATCTTGGGATTCCGGTCACAGAGGACACCGGGTCCCAGGTCGCCAGCCCCACACAGCACTTGAAGGAGCAGAGGACAAGTTTTCTTCTCCGGTCGGAACGGTGTTCTCTCCAGTCGTGACCGTGCCCATGGAAGGAGCAAAGAGCGAGACTACCGGAAATCACTGTTTGAGCGTCAGCGGAAGACGGAAGACGCCAAAGTGAATTCCGCCAGGTGGGACGGGAGGGGGGCTGCACTCCGGGTGGGGCTGGGAGGACACCCGGGCGGGGAGGGCGGGTCCCGGGCGAGGGCCTTCCTGGGGCCCCGCGCCCGCCCACACCCGGGTTGCCCGGGCTGTACGTGGAGAAGGAGGAGGGGGAGGGTGTGGAAAGATATCAGGTGACCGCTGGAGAAACTCCTTCTGGCCTGAGCAGGCCCTTGAGCAGGGCGGATCCTGGTACGTTGGCTTCTTCCAAGGAATGCTCATGAGTCAGTCTGTGGGGAGACACCTGACCCGGGAGAGGAAGGGGGTGCCCAGGACACAAGTGTGGGCTCTCATGGTACTAACACGGGCTACAGGGACGCTTACCTAGACCTGGACTGTGGTGACAGGTCTCCCTGGCGATTTCTCCACGTCTGCTCCCCCAGGCCTGCAGTCCCGGCCTCCCCCGGGTGACTCCACTTGAGGCCATGGAGCCGGCTGCTTCCCCGCATGTCTCCCTGCCTGGCCCCCTGCTCTTCCTCCCGGTCCTGGGCCTGTCTGCACTGGTCTCAGGTAGGGCCCTGCCACTGGCCTGGGGAACAGGTGAAAACCTCTGTAAGCACATGGTCTGTAGGTGCTCCATGTGGCTTCTCTGTGTTCTGTTCAAGCACTAGCAGCCTCAGTAGATACTGGGCATCACTTGCTCCATCCAGCCACAGCCACTGGCCCCAGAATCCTCTGCCCAGGAATAGCTGTCCCCTGGAAGAGCCACTTCTTTTCCTGACTTGGATGTTGAATAGTGACCTGCCTGATTCTGCCCCTTTGTTGAACAGCCCAGTTTACTGTCCTGGGGCCAGCTGATCCCATTCTGGCCATGGTGGGAGAAAACACCCTGCTACGCTGTTGCCTGTCACCTGAGAAAAATGCCCAGGACATGGAGGTGCGGTGGTTCCGGTCTCAGTTCTCGCCCGCGGTGCTGGTGTACAAGGGGGGGCGTGAGAGGGCAGAGGAGCAGATGGAGCAGTACCGAGGACGAACAACCTTTGTGAGTGAAGACATTAGCAAGGGGAACGTGGCCCTCGTCATTCGCAATGTCAGAGTCCATGACAACGGCATCTACCGCTGTTATTTCCAACAAGGCAGGTCCTACGATGAGGCCATCTTGCACCTGATGGTGGCAGGTATGTCCTTTCACTTTGTTGGCTTTTCACAGTGTGACTTTTGGGGAAAGTTTCTTTCTGAACCTCAGGTCCCCCAAGACCACCTGATTTCTTTCTAGAATCCCCTTTACCCTGGAAGGGCAGCTTCCTCCTGCCTGAGGGCCCAATGAGTGGGTTTGCCCCGCTGAGCTGTGGGCTCGAGCGTTCACACCCTGAATACAGTGAGAGCCTTGAGCAGCAGAGAGCGTTTAATCCTACAGATTATGCTCATGCTAATTTTTAGAGATCTCTAAGCGTCTTCTTCGGTAACATGCTTTAGAATGAGACATTAAGACATAGTAATCTGTCCCCAGGCCTGGGCTCCACGCCCCTCATTGAAATGAAGGGCCACGAGGATGGGGGCGTCCGGCTGGAGTGCACATCCGTAGGGTGGTACCCAGAGCCCCACGCAGTGTGGAGGGACCCTTATGGGGAGATCATGCCCGCCCTGGAGGAGGCTTACACTGAGGACACGGACGGCCTCTTCAGGGTCACCATAGCTGTGATCATCAGGGACAGCTCTGTGAGGAACATGTCCTGCTCCGTCAACAACACCCTGCTCGGCCAGGAGAAGGACTCTGTGATCTTTATTCCAGGTACGTTCCTTGCCCTCCAGGGCCCAACCATGGAACCAGAAACCTCAGTACACACATGACGCCTGACAGGGCTTGGGGAGGGTTGGGGTGAGAGTGTCCTGGGCCCTGAAGAGCACAGGCTACAGCTGAGCTGAGGCTGTGCCCCTCATCACAGGTGGAACATCAAATAGTCTCAAACCCCAGAGTAGGAGCCTGTTCTCTGAGGGTAAATCTGATATTTCCCCCCTATTATGGTTCTGATCCTGCAGCAATTTGTAAACATTTAGAACAACCATAGCACATGCACAGTGGTGTGGGCAGGAAGCTGTGCACACCTGGTGGAGCTGTGAGCTGAAGCCCTCCCTCCTGCACATGAGATGTTAGAAGAGCAGAGCAGGAGAGTCTCTGTTACAGGCATTCATAAATTCATTCAACAGATGCTTGACAAGGACCACATAGGTTCCCAGCCCTGTTCTAGAAACCAAATATATATCCGTGAACAAAAATACATAAAGATTCCCACCCTCATGAGAGCCACATTCTAGAGCAGCAGAGAGTAATCAATAAAACAATTAATTAAAACAGGGAGTCAAATAATTAGTTAAAGTTTTATATCGAGTGGCAATAAGTTCTGTCAGAACATTAATGAAGGGAGGCAGTAGAGAGGGATAGGGGCAGGGGGAGTGGTAATTATAAATAGCATGGTAAGGAAAGACTTCAGTGAAAAGATGGCAATTGGGCAAGTGAGGAATGAACAAACCAGGTAGCAGGAACAGCACATGCAAAGGGCCTGAGGCAGGAACAAGTCTGGCAGTTTTGAGGAACCCCAAGAGGCCAATGTGGATGGAATGGCTTGAGTGTACTGGGAATGGGAGGAAATACACATCTGGAATGGGTCCAGACCACATGGGGCAATGTAGGTCACCAACAGACTTTGGCCTTTAGTCTCAGTGAGATAGGAAACATCACAGGGTTTTTTTGTTTTTTGTGGTACGTGCCCCTAGCGGAAACCGAACCCAGGACTCTCTGGTCCGCAGGCCGATGCTCAACCGCTGAGCCAAACTGACCAGGGCCATCACAGGCTTTTGAGCAGAGAAATAATGTGATCTCAGGGAGGCAGCTGTGCTGGAGACAGACTGCACAGGATGTGAGCAGAAGCAGGGAAGAGGGCATTGCAGTGATCAGGTGAGAGTGATAGTGGTCGCGCCAGGATGGTGGTAGTGGTTGGCTTTCATTCATCTGGTCCTTCCCACAGTGACCCCAAGTACTTATGCTTTTCTATCTCCTGGATCCTGTGGAATGACAAACTAAAACACTTCAGTAATGAGTTTGACCTCCTTTGTTTAAGGGAAAGCCATCCATGGATTGGGGTGAGGAGTGCAGGTCCTCCCCAGCTGGGGAGCCTCTACCTGAGGAATCAGCAACTGTCAGAGGTGGAAATGGGCATGACTGATGAGGAGGTCTGGGTTTCCTTGTCCGGCACCAGGTCCTGTTTTCCAGGGGAAGGGGAGATCACTGAAGTTGAATGGGAGGATGTGATGGGGGTATGTAAGTGTTCCTAAACATGGGGCGTTTCCAGTACATGCAGGCTGAGGTAAGTGTGGATTTGTGACATGGGCCACTGGTGTGGCCTGTATTTTATGGGTTCTTATATATGAATTAACCTCATCAGCCCCACCACGGGCAGCACTGTGGGATTCTGAGAGAGAAGTGGATGTAGCCCGTGCCTGAGCGAGCTCCTCAGATGTGCATCCCAGGGATGCTCTCACCCCGTCCATTGTCTCACTGACTGGGACTTTCCTGGCCTCCTTCCAGAATCCTTTATCCCCAGCACATCTCTCTCTCCCTGTGCGGTGGCCCTGGCTGTCATCCTGCCTGCTCTGCTCCTCCTCCTCCTCGCCAGCATCTGTCTCATCACGAAACTCCACAAGGAAAAAGGAACTCTGTCAGAGGAAAAAGATTTTGAAACTAAAGGGAAAGAAATTGCGTGTAAGGAACTGAAGAAAGAACGTGGGGAAAAAGAGAAAGAACGTCTAATAAAAGGTAAAAGATTATGAGGGCAGTTCACTGTCATTCCAAGGACACAGCTCGGACAGCTGAAGCCATGGGGACAGAGAAGAGAGGGACAGCAGGCAGGGCTTGGAGCGCTGCGTCCCTGTCACTAAGCCTCTGAATCACTTTCGGCCTTCTCAAATGTTGCATCTACAGAGAATGTTATACTGTTTGAGAAAAAGGAAACCTAAACACATACTGATAAGATCCAGCTACCTGGTCCATAGTCATTTCTGGAATCTGGACAATTTCCTGGATGTGGGGGAGGGTACGGTGCATTGACAGAAAGAGCCAGTCCTGTGTTTAATACAGACTCCAATCCGTACTTCTTCTGTGAGGACTTTCATTGGTTTCTGTTTATTTTTCAGAGCAACTTCAAGAGGAACTGCGTAAGTTTGTCATTTTCCTAACTACTCGGTACATAATGTGTATTCTGTCAGTGACTATTATCTCATGAAGCTCACTCTCTGTCCTTTTGCAGGATGGAGAAGAGGCCTCTTGCATGCTGGTGAGCTCCTGGGACAGTCCCCCACATCCCAAGCTTCCTCCCTAGTGAGACAAAGGGACACGTGAGCTGAGAGGAATAAGGGCCATGGTGGGGACGGCTGGGTCAGTTCCCCAGCAGCATCCCTACTATTGCATGATCCCAGCTCCTCGGGAAGGGAATTTCCTGGGGTCTCAATCAGCTCTTCCCCTCCTTCCCATCCTTATTTGTTACCATAATGTCATCCATGATTTCCAGAGGTCAAGCACACAGAGGGACCTCCATAAAGGTTATGTTTGAGTAGTTGTTGCACTTAGGAATCTGGATGAATTTGAGGGAAGAGAATACTGGCTGAGCTAGTTATATCCTGGGAGATGCATACTTAGCATCTGTGTGTGGGACAGGCAGTGAGCTGCCCCAAGCCTGCCTAAGGGCTGGACAAATAGGTGTCAGAAATGCCTTCCTGCCCAGGAGAGCACTGGTGCTGTGTACAGCTGGGAAGGGCAGCCCTGGCCAAGCAGGGGCCCACAGGATCCCCTTTCCTCCACGGATGAGCACCTTGCATTTATGATTCATCATCTACTCAAAGGCATCACAGCATCCAGGCTTCACTAGATGCCATGGTGCTTGGACCTTTCCTCTAGGTGGATTTCACAGCTGTCACAGTTGGACATGTCCATGTGGGGAAAGGAGAAAATCATTCTAACAGAATGGAGATGGAGGCCGATGAGTAACAACTGTAGGGGGGAAGTTCTCAGAAGGTCAGGTCCGGAGCTCACCCTGCACCCAGACAGGGCACTTCAGACCCGAGTGTAAAGCAAAGCTGGATGGAAATAGTGCCCCATCTTTTGCCAGACACACCTCTCAGGTGGCAGGTTGGCATTTGGGGACACTGACCTCTTTTTCTGCCTCTGAAGAGTGCCCTTATTAGTCATTTATGTCACCTGGAAAGTTGGTGTAAATAGGGGCACAAGAATAGGACCCTTTACTGCGCAGCCTCTGTGTCGGGAGAAATCGGCCTTAATTGCTTTCCTAAGAGTAGAGAGGGCACAGGGTCTCCTTACTGCTTTATGGTAAGTTGGAAAGTTTCCAAAAAAGAGATTCTCAGAGATCACATAGAAAGAAGGACAGGTCTGAGAATGTGGACAAAAAGTGGGAGCCATTAATTTCAGCTCATGTGCTAAACTGTCTTCATTTCTTAGAGCCCCAGTTATCCTCAACCTGAGGCCCCACTCCCGTCACTCAGGAGGTACAAGTACAGCCTCAGGAGTTCTCAGTCTGAGAGCCTCCTGGATCTGGATGAAGGGCCTTTATGGACATCTCACTCCGTGAGGGTGTCCCCTGCCTTCTGGGACCTCTCTCAGACCCAGTCCTAAACCTGAGGCTTTCTCTGCAGCTGATGTGGTCCTGGACCCAGACACCGCTCACCCTGAACTCTCCCTGTCAGAGGACCGGAGAAGCGTGAGGCGGGGCCCCTGCAGGCAGAGCGTGACTGACAACCCAGAGAGATTCAACTGCTGGCCTTGTGTCCTGGGAGCAGAGAGCTTCTCCTCAGGCAGACACTACTGGGAGGTGGAGGTCGAAAACGTAATGGTGTGGGCTGTGGGGGTGTGTAGAGACAGTGTGCAGAGGAAAGGGGAGGCTCTGCTGGTTCCTCAGAATGGCTTCTGGACCCTGGAGATGTTTGGAAACCAGTACCGGGTCCTGTCCTCTGCCGAGAAGATTCTTCCCCTGAACGAGCGCCTGCGCCGGGTGGCCGTCTTCCTGGACTATGAGTCTGGAGATGTCTCCTTCTACAACATGAGGGACCGGTCACACATCTACACGTGTCCTCGCTCACTCTTCTCTGGGCCCCTGAGACCCTTCTTCAGGCTGGGGTCTGATGACAGCCCACTGTTCATCTGCCCAGCATTCAAAGGGGCCCAGGGGGTCACAGTGCCTGAGGGTGGCCTGGTCCTTCACAGGGCGGGGAGCCCCCGCAGCCACCTGGACCAGTTCCCTGGTCTCAGAGCCCAGTAGAGAAGCCCTGGCCATCTCTCCTAGCACAGCACAGCGCCCGGAGGAAACGGCCCTCCTTCCTCTGGTCACTTCAGGGAACCTCCTCCAGAGGCCCCGGTGCCCCTCTTCGGGCCCCAGCCCCATCTCCCTCCTCAGGCTGTGCTGTAATAGCTCAGTTGCTTGTCACCTTGGGGCAGGGGCCAGGCTCAGGGAAACTAGTGCTTCGACATGGCTCCCAGCCAAGAAGCAAGTGTGAGACAGTGACAGGCGGAAAGCCTCTGCTTTAACCTCAGGGTGACATGTTCAACATGGGACTTGAGCTGCCATCGGACACTGTGGACTCGGGATGAGAACAACAGGATGCACCAGGACCTAAGGGGACTGGTAAGGGCCTGGGCGCCACTGCTGGAGGTCGGAGACAGAGGACGAGGGGCCAGAGAGCTGGCGGGCCCAGGCTGTCAGCAAGGTTAAGCCCCATCATGACGGCCAGGGGTCCCAGCATCTGAAGGTCCATCCCGCCCACCCCCAGATTTGCAGACCACACAGGAAAGCTCCCCTGGCCTAGAGGATGAAAGACAAGGACAGCTCTGGATCTGTCCTGGCTCAGGTGTCCCTGCAATAAACATTCTTGGTCACTGAGAATGGCCTGAGGTTGAAGGTCCTGGCTGAGCAGGTGAGCAGTGAACCAAGTTAGGCACAAGGTCCAGGTTCAGTGGGGAGGCCAGTGGTTTCCAGCTTCTTAGTCTCACGAAGCCTTCATTTTACTTTTTATTTTTTCCAATTTTCATTAATTTATTTTTGTTACAGATACTCCCCTCCTCCCTCACCCCTTTCTCTTCACAAAGCCTTTAAGACTTCAAAATTATTGAGGCCCCAAGGAACTTGTTCTCATTTTGCTTATATCTGCTACTATTTACTATATTGGACTGTAAAGCTTTAACAATGTACTTATTAATCTATACTTAAGTGACATTTATAAGTGGATTACAGGCTAATATAAATATAATATTTTGTGAAAAATAACTTGTTTGCAAAGCAAAATAAATGCTAGTGAGGTGTGTGGCACTGTGTCATTTGTTTTGCAAGTCTGATGTCAGGCTTAATACAGGACTGGATTCTCAGATCTGTTTCTGTAAGAATGTGGAAACTTGTGGAGAATTTTTATAAGAGTTCATTTTAATCAAATTGACAGCATTGCCTGGGAGGTAGCTCTGAAATGCTCTGGAAAATTAAAGTTTTGCAGCTTCTTTTCTGCATTTGGAATGAAGGAGGGAACGTAAGGATTGTAGGAAGGTGGGAGAGAGGAGAGTTAAGGAGACCCTGTGCTCCTTGGAGGGTGATCACATTTGGAGGGGTCTACAAAGGAGGATTACTTCTGGCGTCTCAAGGGTGTGTTAAGCTAGATGCACAGGAGTGTGGATGGGTTTCCTTAAGGCAACAGTAACCTTTTACTAAAGAATTATAGGCCTGGGGCTCAGTACCCACCATGACCTGCCCAGTTAGGGGTTTGTGGTCAGATCACCCTGTGAGGTTAGTGTTGTTCACCATTTCTTACTGACCCCCTTTCACTCGCAACACCAGTGCCTTGAGAATCACACTGAGAAACAGGCATCTTAAAAACCAAAGTCCAAATAAGTAGGTAATGTCTGGGTTTTGTTTTCTGCATGGGGAATTTACTGTGTTAGAATTTCCTTCTTCCCTTTGGCATTCCGGCCTGGTGTCTCTTGGTTGGAGCGTTTTCCTGTACACTGAAAAGTTGTGGGTCCAATCCCAGTCCTGGCCCAGTGCATTTTCTTTCTCTGATATCAATAAAAACAGTTCATTCTTATTGTCAGGACTTTGGCTGCTACTCTAGGAAACTGGACGCCATTGTAGGGTGGCATGATCTGATTTTCTTGTCTCTTGGGTCGTTTAGATTATTTATTTATTTATTTATTTATTTTCTTTATGGATTTCAGAAGTAGAGTGTGAGAGAGACAGAAACATCAATGAGAGAGAACATCAATTGGATGCCTCCTGCATGCCCCCACTGGGGTTTTGTACCCTGACTGGAAATAAAACGAGTGGCCTGTTGGTGCGTAGGTGATGCTCAGACACGGAGCCACACTGGCTGGGCTAGAAAATTTATTTCTTTATTTCATTCTTTTTTTATTTTTCTTTATTGATTTATTTTTCTTTTTATCCTCACCCGAGGACATTTTTCCATTTTTTGTTCAGATAGAGTGGGAGGGAGAGAGAGGAACAGAAAGAGAGAGAGAGAGAGAGAGAAACATCGACGTGAAAGGGACACAACAGTGGCTGCCACCCGTACGACCAACCAGGGCCGGGGACAAAGTGCAACCAAGGTGCACGCCCTCAGTGGGAACTGAACCCAGGTCTCTCTTGACCGCCGGGCGACGCTCTAACCGCTGAGCCAAACCTGCCAGGGCTATTTTCCTTTATTGATTTTACAGAGAGAAGAAAGGAGAGGGCGAGAGAGATGAAACATCGATGAGCGAGAACATTGAGGGCCGCCTCCTGCATGCCCCCCACTAGGGATCAGGCTCACAACCTGGGCATGTGCCCAGACCGGGAATAGAACGGGCAACCTCTTGCTGCTTTGGTCGATGCTCAACCACTGAGTCACACCAGCCGAGCTAGAAAATTTATTTTTAAAAAATTACTAAGGAAGACTGTGCTAAGCACCCTCACTGTGTGCTGCCCAGGTCATATTACCTACGTCTCAGCACTGGACACATTTAAAAAGAGCCTGGCCAGCTTGTGCACACGCAGGAATGCTCACTTGTTCGCTTTCTTCAGAAGCACAGAAGTGTCTCTAAAGTTAAGGGGTACAGCCTCCCCCTAACCTGAATCAGGTGTTCTTCGCTAAATAGGAATCTTTGTGGGGGTGTCAGAGGTCATTCCTCAGGACATGCAGGAGCCCCCTAGGGAAATTCCAACTCACTGTAATTAACTGGCTCCTCCAGGGGAGCACCCTTAAGGTTTGGTCAACCCATGTCCCAAGCCCTCCAGTTGTTTAGACGCCAGGAGAGAGACTGAGACACGTAAGAGGGCTGAATGGGACTCCAGGGCTGAGAGCCTCGTGGAGCTCAACCTATGAGCAGCACATTTTGACCCACCACATAACTTCCCTGGAAAACTTGCTCAGACTCTGCACACATCAAAAACAAAAACAAAACCTAAACTTGACATGGGAAGTTGTGCCTCCAAGGCTGGGAACTCCCAGACCCCAGTCCTCACTAATAGTGCTCATATGAAGCCTTTCCTTGCAAGTGATTTACAGTAACGGAAGATTTAACTAGAAAATATCAACTGAAAATGGCCAAAATGCAGTTGTCTTTGGGTGCCTAAGTGACTGGTTTGCATGCACAATTTAGGAAAATGCGGGCTCTTCAACTGAACTAATGAATGGGAAGCGTATCTGGATTTGGAAATTTGAAATATCTAAGAAAAAGCACAAATAAATTCTTGAAAGAAATTAATAAAAAATTTTAGAGACTGCCTCTGAACAATTCTGAAGCCAATGACACAAAAGGCAATGCCCTGTTTGGTAGAGAACAGAGCCACTCTGCTGGGCACAAGCAGCGCAGCTCCGATGAGACGGGGGAAAGCCTCAGTGCTACTGGTTGCACTGGGATTCCAGGAGCTGCTTTCTAAGGGCGGGCTCAGTTGGCAGGAACACAGTGCAGGCAGGCGTCCAGCTGACAAGCAGGTAGTTTAGCACAAAGACTTCTCCTTAATTAAGTGTAGTTTTGTGAGAGCTACCTGTGCAGAAATGGCTGCTAGGCTCTGTTCTTTAAAATTTTTAATTTGAGCTCAGTTAGCCACCAAGAGCCCTTCTTAGTAGGTGTCTTGTTTTCTCAGGGTCCACACTACCATTCTTCACATGATTCATGAGGTCCTACCCCCAATAGGTCCTCAAGAACTTCCCTTCCCCTCCCATGGCATCAGCTGAGAAGCAAGAATTTATCTTGCAGATGCCAGGGAATGGGGGAATGGACAGAAGGGGCCTTAGTGCTTGTCCTGCCTTAGGCCCTCTGGGTACCCAGATAAAAAAAAAACAACTCACTGACAATTTTTAATATACCACTGAAAGTTACTACTACATTTATATTTTATATTTACATTTTAAATGCAGTGTTGGTGCTTCGAGCATTTCAGAACTGATAGGTGTGTGGAGGTACCCAGAGGAAACTACACTGATGTTTGCAAATTACTTACTTTATTTTTATATTTTTTTCAATCCACACCCAAGGCTATTTTTCCATCCATCTTTTTAGATAGAGTGGAAGGAAGGGAGGGAGAGAAAGAGAGAGAGAGAAACATCAATGTATCTGTCACATGGATTGGCTGCCTCCCGCATGATCCCTACCTAGAGAGGCCCACAGAGAGAGACAGAGTCAGACAGACAGACATCGCGTCCTGCAGAGCCCTAATTAGGCCAATGGTTGAACTCACAATCACAGTGGGTGCCCTTGACTGGGAATCAAACCCTGACCCTTTGGTCCGGAGGCCAACTCTCTAACAACTGCAACTTACATGAAAAGGCTCCAGATAAGTGAAGAAGGCTAGGGTCATACTCTGAAGGGTAGATTATAATAAAGTCAGCATGTATAATACAATGTTCATTATAGAATCTAAACAGTAGGTATATTTAGTGTTCACTGAAACATTCTTTCAAATTTGCCATAGCTTTGAAAAGTTTCATGACCAACTGTTGATAGTGGGAGGTGAGAAGGGAAGAACTGTGTTTTGCTGCTGCTAACAGAGACCAGAGGCACCACTGGGTAAACAAAACAACGGTTTGTTTTCCTTCCATGTAAAATGAATTCAGAAGGCAGCAGTCCAGAGATGGTCTGGCAGCTCAGAGAGGCATCCATAATCCAGCCGGCGTCTGTCTTCTTCCTCCTCTGTCTCAGTTTGTGGCTTCCATTCTCAGGGTTGCCACTTGGTCCCAAGGGAGCTGCTGCACCCCAGCTCCAGGGACAGTGTTCCACCCAAGAGGGAGGAAGAAGGAAGAAGGGTTTGAAACGCTCTGGGGAAACACAACCCAACAACTTTCGCCTACAAACCACTGGCCCCAACACAGTCCTCAGCCTCTTCCATCAACATGGGGTGGGGGTGGGGGAGGCACATTGCCGTTCTCTCCCTCCCTCCCACATTGGGTTTGATACTAAGAAGAAGCAGGAAAGTGACCAGCTGTCTCTACCACGGAACCGAAGTTCAAACAGATGTAATGAAGTCAAATTCCATCAGCCAAGGACTGTAAGGCCCTGGGAGCTATCATCACTCTCTTGAGACCTAAATAACATGTCTTTGGAGATCCTAGGCCACAGGTAGACCCTGTTTGTCCCAAAAACCTCCAGGAGAATGCATTCACAGCCTATTTAGTATAACCTCAGAGCATACAGACTACAGCAGGTGATGAGAAATAAATACACCTGAAAATCCAAATGCAGCACAGAGAAGGCGTGAAGAACGGATGAACCTTCTCAGCAACGTCCCCAGTATAATTTTCTGAAACAATGTAAAACATGCCACTCGCTTCCTCAGACCACTGACCCAGTAAACCAGAGCACTCTTTGGGACTGGATTTGAGACACGAATTTCAGAGGTGCCAAAAAAGGCGATGTGGGTGTGGTATCTTCCTGTTCATGCTTTCACTGGGCTTTGCTGTAAAAAAAAAAAAAAAAAATGCTAACAAATGGCCAGAGTGGCCTTTAATAAATGCACACCTCCTCTCCTCACACATTAACATGTTAATTTGTCTTAGTTCTGCTGCTAAATCCATTATGACTTAATAGATACAAAGCAGGTGTATACATTGAAATACACACCCACACCCAGGAATGATTCAAACAGCTAAACACACAGAGAGACTTGGAGTGTGGGAATCAGAGCTGGAGCTGTTCTTCATTGCTCCATCCAGTACAGGGTCCGCCTTCCTGCTAACCTTGTCCAGTGGTTTCTGCCCAGCAACTGATGAGACATATTTCTCTGAGCCAATCAGAAAACAAGTGCTTTCAAAGAGGAAATTAGCACTCTATCCTGTACGCTTCCATTAGTAAGCTTCCTTATCTTTACCCTTTCTTCCAGATCAGAGACTCAGCTGTAATGGAGAACCACTGAGTGCCTTTGTTCTGTGAACTTCAGCTGGGAGAGCCCAGGCAGGGTAAGTGCAGAGTGTTGGGACAAGCCAAGGCCCCAGCGCACCGTTAGGAGAGAAGCAGAGAAGCCCGGTATCTCCACAAGGGCACTCCTCGCCCACAGGAGTGTGAATGTGCAGGTGACTACCCAGGCGGGAGCATGGATGGAGACAGGGCAAGTTAGGTCTTGAATTCAGAAATCAGTGGGAGGGAGAGAGCTGGAGTGAGGGAGCTTGTCAACTGCCTGGTCCTAGGATCTTACTGTGACCAGAGAGGAGCAAAGTCCTCTTAAAGCCTCTTCCCTCCTCTCCAGGAATGTGTTCATGAGATTCTAAAAGAGAAGTGTGTGTTTTTAAGACTTGTATGTAAAGATATCCGCTACAGAATCAATTGTGATATAGAAGAATCTGAACCAACTTACATGCACAGCAGATGGAGAATACACAATAGAGAGGAATGTCTGTACCTCCTCTTTAGAGAAATGCCTGTTCAGGTCCTCTGCCAATTTTTAAAATCAGATTCTTTGTTGTTTTTGTTGTTTTGTTGTATGAGTTATTCACACATTTTTTTATATTAACCCCTTATCGGATGTGTCATTTGCAATTATCTTCTTCCATTCAGTAGGTTGTCTTGTTTTGTTTTAAGGTTTCCTTTGTTCTGCAAAAACTTTTTCATTTGATATGACTGCATTTCTTTTTGTTTGTTTGTTTTTCTTTTCTTGCCCTTGCCTGAGGACACATATCCAAAAAGACGTTACTAATAGCGATGTAAGAGAGTTCACTGTCTATGTTCCCTTCTAGTTGTATGGTTTTGGGTCTTACATTGACTCTTAAACCCATTTTGTGTTTATTCTTGTATATGGTGTAAGAAAGTGATCCAGTTACATTCTTTTTTTTTTTTTTCTTTAATCCTCACCCGAGGACACTTTTTTCATTCATCTTCAGATGGAGAGTAAGGGAGAGAGGGAGGAAGAGAGAGAGAGAAACATCGATGTGAGAGAGACACATCGACTGGCTGCCACCCACACGACCCCAACCTGGGCCAGGGACAAACTGCAACTGAGGTATGTGCCCCTAGCAGGAACCGAACCCAGGTCTTTCTGGACCATGGGCTGATGCTCTAACCACTGAGCAGGTCAGTACTCTTTTTGTTCTTTTTCGTTATTGATTTTTAGAGAGTTGAAGGGAGAGTGAGAGAGAAATAGAAATATTGATGAGAGAAAACCTCAATTGCCTGCTTCCTGCATGCCCCCTACTGGGGATTGGGCCCACAACCTGGGTATGTGTCCTAACTAGGAATCCAACCGGGGACCTCTTGGTACATGGGTCAATGCTCAGTCACTGAGCCATACCAGCTGCGCAGCTGGGCCAGTTACGTTCTTTTGCATGTAGCTGTCCAGTTTCCCCAGCACCGTTTTGAAGAGACTGTCTTTACCCCATCAGGCATATTCTTGCCTCCTTTGTCATTAATTAATTGACCCTATAAGTGAGGGTTCATTTCTGAGCTCTGTATTCTGTCTCATTGAACTATGTGTCTGTTCTATGTCAGTACCATGCTGTTTTTATTAGTGTAGCCTTGTAGTATAGTTTGATATCAGGGAGTGTGATGCCTCAAAGTTTGTTTCTTCTCAAGATTTCTTTGGCTGTTTGGGGTCCCACATAAATTTTAGAATTAGTTGTTTTACTTCTGAGAAGAGGCCACTGGTATTTTATTTTTTTATTTTGTTTTATTTATTTATTTATTTTTTATCCTCACCCAGGACACCCGCCCCCCCCCCTTTTTTTGGTGGTACATGCCCGGGAACCGAACCCGGGACTCTCTGGTCCGCCGGCCGATGCTCAACCGCTGTGCCAAACTGGCCAGGGCTCCCCCCCCCCTTTTTTTATCCTCACCCGAGGACATTTTCCCATCTTTCGTTCAGATAGAGTGGGAGGAAGAGAGAGAGAGAAAAAAACATCGATGTGAGAGAAACTCATTGACCGGTTGCTGCCCATACAACGCCAACTGGGGCTGGGGACAAACCACAACTGAGGTACGTGACCTTAGCGGGAACTGAACCCAGGACTCTCTGGTTCACAGGCCAACGCTCTAACTGCTGAGCCAAACAGGCCAGGGTAAAATTTTAAGTAGGACTTTAAAAATTCCTCCTACTGATTATTCATTATTGCTTTATAGAAATGCAACAGGTTTCTGCCCTAGCCAGTGTGGCTCAACGGTTAGAGCATCAGCCCGTGGATCAGAGAGTCCTGGGTTTGGTTCACACTAAGGGCATGTATCTTGGTTGTGGACCTGGTTGAGGTCATGTGGGTGGCAACCAGTCGATATGTGTCTCTCTCACATAGATGTTTCTCTCTCTTCCTCCCTCCTTCCTGCTCTATTTGAAGATAAATGGGGGGGAAAAAATGTCTATCTGAAGATAAATGAAAAAAAAAAAAAATGTCCTGGGGTGAGAATGCAAAAAAGAAAGAAATGCAACAGGCTTCTGATTTTCTATCCTGCAGCGTTACTGAATTCATTGGATAGTTCTCAGAATTTTTATGGTGGAGTCCTCAGGCTTTTCTATATTTGTATCATGTCCTCTGAAAGTAGTGAGAGTTTTACTTCTTCTTTCCTGATTTATATGTTTTTAATTTCTTTGTCTTGTCTGATTGCTGTGGCTAGGACTTCCAGTACTATGTTGAATAGAAGTGGTGATAGTGGGCATCCTTGGTTATTGCTGACATTAGAGGAAAAACGTTCAGCTGTTCACCATTGAGTATTATGTTAGCTGTAGGTATAGGAATCTACATCTTTGTAAAGAGTTTTGTATTGTAATGGGAGGGTCAACAATTCGTGGTCCATGCTCAGAAAAGGGAGTTTTTGTTTATAATTATAATAAAGTTGGATCCAATTTCGGTATACCAATTGTATCTCTATGTTGCTATGGTAGATTTTACTATGATGAACAACATTAATAAACATCAACCTTTGTGTTAATGCCTGATTCTTTTCTTGAAGAGTAATTCCAGCAACTGGAATTTGTGGGTCAAAGGATAAAACCATTTTAATGCATTTGGGGTGTGTGTGTGTGTGTGTGTGTTTACATATATACACACACACTCAAAATACATCCAGAAATATTTGCATTCATATGAAGCAAAGTATATGATTACCATCATAAATTATTTAAGTTGTTTTCATTTTAAAATTGTCTATAGTCGGGAATGAAAACAATAAATATCCTCCCAAATAAGTGGAACTATATCCCCACTCAGAAAACTTCTAAGATTTCAAACATTCAGGTGCTCTAAAAGCACAGGTGCGAAGGACTCAGCTGCGCTCCGAGCGAGGCGGGGCGTTGGAGGCTGAGTGGAGGAGGGAAGGGGTCTGAGGCGGGAAAGTGTTGCGCAGAGATGGAAGGGGCACCAGAGCTCTTGGGGAATCAGAGAGGAGGGCCTGCGTTAATCAGATGTGATGAGGAGGCATGGACCTGGCTGTCGCAGGCAAGTGTGGGAAGGTGGAAGGCTCTGAGCACATTCGGACAGCAGAGCCAAGGATTTCCTGATGGCTGGGGTCAAGGTGTGTACACTTAACATTGCAGAGTTTATAGGTGATTTTCCATGTTGATATTAAAAGTTAAGAGACATCCAGGCAAATATTCAGAGGAGGCTCCCGGGTCACCAGTGATTGTGGATGCACCACAAGTCGGCCCTGGGGAGGCAGAGGCCTCCACATGGAAGTCTCCCAACTCCTGGTGTCTCTCTATCTGCACAACAGGTAACAATGGTGAGGTCCTGGACCTTCCATCTGCTTGACCTTTCTGTCTGCCTCACCTTGGTCCAGCTGCTCACCCCCTGCTCAGGTAGGAAACGGTTCTGTGTTTGTGTATGTGAAGCAGTTGCTGTAGTGCCCAGTGACCCTTGGACTCCTCCCCTCCCCGAGAAGGCCCACCCAGGCTGTACTTCTGTTAGGGTGGAGTGCCTGTCTCGGTATGTCTTGCCTCACCCTCCCTGCTGGGACACCTCCTGGCCCTGTGGCCCCAGCTCTCTCTAATAAAGCACCCCCTTCTGCTGACCAGCTCAGTTTGATGTGATTGGACCCCCTGAGCCCATCCTGGCCATGGTGGGTGAAGACGCTGAGCTGCCCTGTCACTTGTCCCCGAAGATGAGCGCTGAGAGCATGGAGTTGAAGTGGGTGCGATCCAGCCAAAGGCAGGTGGTGCACGCGTATGCTCACGGGAAGGAACAAGAGATGGCAGAGTATCGCGGGAGAACTTCGATTTTAAGACAGAACATCACCGAGGGGAAGGCTGCTCTCCGGATTCACAACGTCAGAGCCTCTGATGGCGGACTGTACCTCTGTTATTTCCAAGTCGGTGATTTCTATGAGAAAGCCCTGGTGGAGCTGAAGGTTGCAGGTGAGCCTGAGGTTTGTAGGGAGCTCCTTACATCTGAGGGGAGAGAGGCTCTAAGGCTACCTCAGACACCTCGGCTACTCACCAGCACCAGCCTCCCGGGTCCAACTCTGCTTCTCCGGGGCCCTTGGCAGCCACAGATTTCCTCCAGGAAGAGCTCCTCCTGTGTGTAGGGAAGAAGTCCCTCAGGCAGCCACCAGGGCTTAAGCAGGGAAGTGAGTGTCAGGGACAGGAAAGAGGAGAAAACCACCTCTCAGTGGGTGGCACACAGTTGACTGGTTCCAGCTCTGCTACAGACGGTGTCCATGGCCCTCCAGGTAGACACTGCTGTGGTCCAGGGAAGCTGACCTGCAGGGACATCCCCTGTGCCCCCATGTCCTTTAAGCAAAGACCCCAGGAGCACACCTGTAGTTGAACAAGCTGAGTTGAGGACTTGTTGCTGTGAGGGAGAATGTACACATGCGGAAACCACGGGGTGTGCCAGTGAGAGGGTGTGGGAGACAGAAGCATTTGGGCTGGGGAGTAGGGCAGGGTTATGAAAGTGGGGAGTTTCTCCCGACTGGATGCGGTCAGATTGGTGCTGCGGTGTAACTGCAAACTCACAGCCAAGACAGGGCTGGTCTGGTCACTGTTGTGGTCTGGACACTATTCATGTTTTGCTCTGAACTCAAACCTCACAGTTGACTGGTCTGTTTCCGTCCTGACCCATCACAGTGACAACATGCCCTTGTCTGGCGCCGCTGTTCCATGAAATTGCTCATGTCTAGAGGTCAGGGCTGTATTTCTCTTTCTCTGGGCACAGCCTGCCCTGTGGTTTCTGCCTGGGTTGGTCAGTGGGGAGCCTCGCAGAGGATGGAGGGGGTGGGCCCTGCCTGGCTTTGTCCCTGCCGGTCCTCCTCAGCTAGTTACAGTCTCTTCCTGGAGACCACACCTGCTCTGGGGAAAGCCTCCACTCAGGACTCTGTTTTCTCAGGTCATGAAAAGGCTTCCTCCCTCTCCCCTTGGCTCTAGGTAAGGTAGGTAATATTCCTGGACCTGGATCAGCTCTCTCCCATGGAAAAGTTTTACCCTCTCCACAACCACGATATGAGAATTTCCCTGGGTCAAGACACTGGAGAAAGAGGCTGTCAACTTTAGCATGAACTACATCAAGAGTTTAGGAAGGAGACTGCCATACAATGAACAGCTTGCATGGTGGCAATACAATGTGTATATCCTCTGAGACATGGCATCCTCCTCTTACACAGGACAGGGCAGGATGGATAGGGTACAGGGGCACGACCCACCCCAGGTAAGTGCTAATGACTTGCACACTTGCCCATTGTGAGGTGAGGGCCTGGTCCAGGATCCAGCAAGGCTGGGGCATGGGGGAGGGGTCCAGCAGTCTCCAGGAGATGCACAGGAAGCAATCTCTGTTCTGGCCCAGATCCAGCTGGATACAGCAAGAGGTGACAGCAGTGGGCAGGCAGGGGTCCCTTCACGGAACAGTCTCTCCTGCACAGCACTCTTTGTGAACGGCCCCTTAGTGAAAGCCTGCCTGACTTCTCTAGTGTGTGTGCCTTGCATTCCTGCTGAGACCCTCACCAGCACAGTGGGCTTCCCTTAATTCAGGTTCACTTTCCCTTTCCCAGCGCTGGGCTCTGATCTTCACATTGTTATGAAGGACTACGGGGATGGAGGGATCCATCTGGAGTGCACATCTGCCGGCTGGCATCCACAGCCCCAAGTGGAGTGGAGAGATGCCAGGGGAGAGAGCTTGCCCACTGTGGCAGTGTCTGTGGATGCAGATGGCAGGGGCCTGTATGCAGCCACATCATCTGTGATCCTGAAACGGAGTTCTGGGAAGGGGGTCCTCTGTGCCATCAGAAACCCCCTGCTCAGCCTGGAGAAGACAGCCGGGGTTTCCATCGCAGGTGAGTGCCCCGCCGCTGCACGCGCTCAGCTGTGGCCCCTGAGCAAGGAGGCCCTGACTGTCTGCTGCTCACTAAAGTCTTTGCAGCGAACAGGAGGCACAGAGCAGGGTCCTGGGTGCTTCTTTGCCTCATGAAGCTGTTAAATCACCAACATCTCCTGAGCATTTCCTGCAAGCTACAAACTCTGACAGGCAATGGGAATTGGGGACAAATAATAAATATCAGCAAACATATTACTAACTGGGGAAAAATATATATGTAACCATATCTTGGAGAAAGAGCTAATCTCCTTGAAATATAAAAAAAATAAAAACAATAGAAAAATGAGCAAAGAACAGGAATGATCAGTTCACAGAACAGAAACACCCTCACGAAAGGATGTCCAATGTCCAATCTCAGTGAGTAGGGAAACGTTTTCCACCTGTGAGCTTGGCAACAGACCTAAAAGCCAGGTGTTTGGCAATACATTCTGAAGGCAGAGTTATGGGGAGGCAGTCAGTTTGTTGCTATAATTTGTTATATTTTGGGTATAAATTTGCACAACGTTAAAAAATATTTTTTAATCTTCACCTGAGGACATTCTTAGAGAGAGGAAAGGAGGGAGAGAGGAAAGCATCTATCGAAGGTGATCTGTTACTTTCCATGCACTCCCCAGTCACCAGCAACCCAGGCGTGTGCCCTGACCAGGCATTGAACTGGCAACCTTTCAGTGCACTGGCTCCTGACACTCGACCATCTGAGCCGCTCTGGCCACCCTGGCTCAACTCTTATTGAGAAAAGTAGAGCAATCTTTACCCAAGTACTTATTTATTGACCCTAATCCCAGTTCTGGAATTTATCTGACAGATTATCTAGTGCTTATGTGAAATGACCCACACTCAAGCTTATTTCTTATGATGACAGAAAGCTAGACACTGTGCAAGTCCCCTCCAGTGGGGAGCTGGGGCAGTGGAGGGCTGCACGGTGACAGGAAACACAGACGTGCTCTCTAGACCGAGAGGGAAAGGTCACCAAGACCCATGAACAGAGAAAACAAGCTGCAGCTCAGCTTGTATAGATGTTATCTTTGCTGTAAAAAAGAAAAAATAAGTATGTGTATGTTTTTTATGTTTTAACAAACACATGCATGGCGCTGTGTGTCAGGCACTTTATAAACATCAATAATCCTGTTGCGATGAGGACACCTGGAACAGTGTGGTTAAGTGATTAGTCCAAGGTCACAGAGCTAGTCAGGCAGAAGACTCAGAATCTGAACCCAGGCCCTCCACTCCCAAATTTCACATTCGTAGTCACCTCATTAAGCACACTAATGAGAAGGTAATAAATGGAGGAGAGACAAGGGAGTGGAGAGGAGACTTCACTGACTTTTGTATATGTTTTGATATTCTTATTATTCTCATGTGAGAGGCAGATATTTCAAGAAAAGAGTATGGTTGTGTGACAGAGTTCTGGGACACTTTGGGGAGAGAATGATCACTTTCCATCCTGAGATACCCCCATGACTCCGCCTGAGAGCAGCTGAGGCTATCCCTCTGCAGGCCCCTTCTTCTCCAGCGCCCAGCCTTGGGTGACAGCTGTCTGGGTGACCCTGCCAGCTCTCCTGGGGCTCCTGGCGGTGGTTGGGTGCTTTCTGCTGCGACAGCAGAAAAAAAACAAGGCTCTGTGCAAGGAAAACGAAAGGCAGCGAGCGGAGAAAGATGCTGCGAAGGTGGAGGAGCAGCGAGAGCGAAGCGCCAAAGGTGAGGCTGGGCTGTAGGTAACCAGGACCACCCTACTCATACCCGCACCCACTCCGTGTGTCCCCACCCCTCGATCACCATAACAGGACTTTTTCTTTCCTGCTTATTTCCAGAGAAGCTGCAGGACGAACTCAGTAAGTCCCGATCCCCTGTCTCGCGCGTTCTGGGGTCCCTGCTTTACGCGCGTCACCGACTGCTCACCTTGTTCCTTGCAGAGTGGAGGAAGGTCCAGTACCTGGCACGTGAGTACCCGGACCAGCATCTCAGACTCTCTGCCCGCGTATTTCCAGGCCCTTTCCTCACCCCTAACCGCTCAGGGGAATAAATATGGACAGTGATCTGGGAAAGCCTGGGCACTGGCTTTCCTCCAAGGCGAAAGGCGCTTCAGTCCCTCCCACCAGAGGTCGCTCCCACCTGGCTCTCCAGGGAACCTAGGGAAGGAAAGGAGCAGAGATGGACTCAGCATGTGAGGTCCTTTCCTTCCTGGTTGCTGTACAAAATCTATACCCTACTGAGAGGAAACCTCTTAAACAAAGGAGAGGCTCCAGTGTTGCTGTCACAGATTGATCCCAACTGCTGAAATACACAGTATCCGAAACTTTCTCATTAAGTTGCCCAATTCTTTCCAGAAGTAGCAGGAAATAATGTGGATGAGATTGGTGGACTCCAGCACACATACACGTACCCTTATGCACACTGCGCCCAGGATCAGGCAGGTACAGGAGTAAGAGTCACAAGTATCTGAGGGGGATGTACTGCAAGACCCCAGGGGATTCCTGAAACCTCGGATAGTACCACACCCAGTGCGTACTAGATGTTTCCTTCTCACTTAAAGAAGGCTCCTCACTGGCCGACCCGAATTGCCCGCATCACTACTCCTGTGCTTTGGGGTCATTATTAAGTAAAATAAGGCTACCTTGATCACAAGCCCTGTGATACTGGGACAGTAGATCTGATCACAGACACAGCTCCCAAATCATTAAGAGGGGAAGGTATGCAGGGTGGACCTGCTGGACAAAAGGATGATGTGCAAAGGTCAGAGCAGGATAGCAGGAGATTTCGTCCCCCTACTCAGAATGATGTGTAATTTAAAACTTATGAATTGTTTACTTCTGGAATTTTCCATTTAGTATTTTCAAACCACAGTTGAAGGAAGGTGACTGAAACTTCAGAAAGGGAAACTGAGGATAAGGGATGGCTGCTGTATAGACACAATCCAATACAGATCTGGGGGTGACAGCTGGGAGGGCTCGAATGTGGTGCCTGAGGGACATCAGAGGCAGTTGATTTTAAAGAAAGGGGGGCGGCAGAGAATTGAACAGGCAGAGAGAGAGGTAGGAAGGGTGGGTGGTCAAAGAGGAAGATTAGTGGGTGCACAAGGAAGAGAGAGGAGACGACTCAGCAATGAGTTAGGTGACTCTCTGCCTGTCTTCCCTTGCAGGAGGGGGTACGTCTCAGGCCTATGCTGGTGAGTGACTGTGATGCTCTGTGGTTTCCTGGCCCCTGTGTACAAAGCATTTAAGGCCTTTCGGTGCTGGTGAGGAATAATCCAATACAGCTCAGAGGCTTATTTTCTGTGGCCACCACCCCGCCTTTCTGGACACCCAGAGCGGACCTTCTAGATGCAGCGTCCCCTCACCCTGCTGATGCACATGCCTGCCTACACCTGGGCAAAGCCTGGCCATGTTGCCCACAGCCCCAGGGTGATGGAGGGAGCCCAGCACTGGGAGGGATGTTATGCCTGATCCAAAGAGCTGTACTTGAAGGAAACTGGATATTGGAAGAGAAGAGGCTTAGTGAGGAGACTGGAAGGAGGGGGAACAGATATGATGACATTTCCTTGTCTGTTTCTACTTTCTTTCAGAGTGGAAGTTGGCCCTCTTCCAACCTGGTGAGTGAACCACTTTATGTTCCCTAGGAAAGCAACCGAGGGACCATGCTTTCTTTTACTTCTCCCACTCTTCACTGGGAGAGTACTGAGTGGGTGACTTGAGGTCCCACTCTCAACCATGGGCCATTCTGCTGCAGAGAGTCCAGAGAACCAGGGACAGCTATTGTCCTGGGCTTTACAGGCCTTTGAGGGAAGGAGGAGGCAGGAGGGGGGGGATCTGGAGGAGGGGTTCCAGGGAATGAGTATGTGACCTGGCCAGGCTTTTGCCCCTTCTTGTCCTGTATGTCTTCAAGTTATGCAATGTTTCTGAGCTTTAGTCTCCTTGTTTTAGAGGATGGTGGTAATTTCTATTATGTGAAGGTTGAGATAAAGGCTAAATGAGGTAATGAATGATTATTGTTCAAAACACCAAAGATCTGTTCAAAATGGTAGTGACTGTGGTGAGGAGAAGGTATCTTAGAGTATAACAGACTATGTTATAGGGAAATGTACTCCAGGGGTGGAGGGTCAGAGCGGACACACAATCCCGCAATATGCTAATAGGTTATTCACTACCAGCAGACCTGTTACAGTATTTTTAAAATAGTGTAACGTGGGTACTAACGATTGACAGCACGCAGACATGAGTGTGGAAGCATCAGGCCACCCTTCCTGGTGTCCTGTGATGGATGATTCTTTATCATCAATGCCATCAAGATTGGTGTTGACCTTGGTTGTCATGTCATTCTAGCTGTTACTAATAAAAATGTTTATGGCTGTATTTGAGGAACACAGATAATCACTGTCTAGAAGGCTTGCGAAGGTCAGTGAGGTTGGTCAAAGGTCACTGCACAAAAAGGTGAAAGAACTCCCTGACACAGGGATGGAGTTGGTTTTGTTCACAACCACATCTACACAGTGATTAGAGAGAGTTTAGAGAAGGAACTACTTCCAGAGGAGTGTGGTGTCCAGGAAAGCCACAGGATGAATGGTGCCCCAGGGCTCACAACAGTGGGAGCTGTCCCCTCCCCTAGGCCCAAGGCAGAGGTCCAGGGAGCCTTCACTGGAGCCCAGGGGAGCTGGGCTCAGGGAGCGGCTGCCTGAGAGGAGTTGTGCTCTGTTAGAGCATCTTCACTGGAGGAAGTGGGGAAGTCAGTGCTGTGTCCCCCTTTCATGTCTCCTTCCAGTCTTGGTACCTACGTTTGGCCAAACCCAACAGGTAACCAGAGGCAAGGGGCCCAGTGATGTGGTCCATAGAAGACTGATTCCTGGGGCCAGATAGGGTGGGGACAGGTGTGAAGTAGGCTGGAGATCCCATAGAGCCCCCAGCATGGCCCCCAGCACAGCAGAGACATGTCTCTTATCACACCAGGCACTTCCTCCATGCCCAGCCTTGGGCTAAATATACCAACATTTTGGCTTATTCTACTGTAGAGATTAGTATCTTTACCCCCATTTTACAGTTATGAAACTGAGATTCAAGATATTACTTAGCACACGTGTGTGTGTGTGTGTGTGTGTGTGTGTGTAAAAGAGTATGCCTAGAAGGATGTCATCCAGCCTAGGAGGGTGGAGCAAGGGCTGGAGTTTGAATCCCTGTGACTGCAACTCAGGTGGCCATTGACATTCTGGGGAGGGAAACAGGAAAAACAGAAGGAAGCTGCCAGCTAGAGATAGCAGGTTAGGCTGACCCCAACCTCCCTCGTCCTCTCCTTCCTCACTGAACACAAAACCCCTGTGGTTTCTCCTGGGATTGCTGAGGCTCACATCCAGGGCTGGATGGGGATCCCAGGCTCTGGGCTTAGACTTGAAGACTAAGGTTCAAAGGTGCAAGAACCATGGCTGCATCTACACCATACCTAACTCTCTGCAGCGGATGTGACTCTGGACCCGGAAACTGCGAACCCCATCCTCCATGTTTCTGAGGACCAGAGGAGCGTGCAGCGGACTGACACACGGCAAAACCTTTTAGACAACCCTGAGAGATTTGACTGGCATTACTGTGTGCTGGGCTGTGAGAACTTCACGTCAGGGAGACATTTCTGGGAGGTGGACGTGGGGGACAGGAAAGAGTGGCATCTTGGGGTGTGTAGGGAGAATGTGGAGAGAAAATGTTGGGTTAAAATGACACCTGAGAATGGTTTCTGGACAATGGGACTGTCAAATGGGAATGACTACCGGGCTCTAACAGAGCCCCGGACCAAACTGACAGTTGTCAACCCTCTTGTAAGAGTGGGTGTTTTTCTGGACTATGAGACAGGGGAGGTCTCATTCTACAATGCCATCGATGGATCACACATCTACACCTTCCCACACACCTCCTTCTCTGGACCTCTGTGGCCTGTTTTTAGGATTTTGACGTTGGAGCCCACTGCCTTGACCATTCGCCCAGCACAAAAAGGAGTAAGGAGTTCCCCTGTGAATGTCCCAGTGCCTGAACCTTCCCTGAAGACCCCAGTGGCCCCTGGTTCAGCTGATGGAAATGGGGACCCTCAGCCTGAAGTAATGTCTTTGCTCCTCCCTGCCTGGCCTGCAACTGAGGGCCTTCTCTACAGCAAAACGTCACAGTAATAAAATACTCTCTGAAAACATACTGTCTGAAGCCCTTTACTAATATTTATTTTATTTTTCCACATGACAGATACAGAGACAAGGGGCAATAAAAGAATTAACATTCCAAATCAACTCAGCTGGCAAAAAACAACATAGCTAACATTCATAGATAACTTAAATATTCTGGATGTTGTGCTAAATGCTTCAGTGAGATCACTCACTAATCCTCACAACAGTCTTGTGAGGTAGCCTCATTTTGAAAGTGTGGAAACAAGGCAGGGCCAAGTGAAGAGACATGTAATTCACACAGAAAGTTGTGCTGCTGGAAGATGTTTGGCCTCTGCCCCTCCTTCCTCCTCTAATCTGTTTGTCACATGGAGCTGAGAAGGACTAGAGGCCAACTTCTTAAACAGATGTGACTTCTGATCACAGAGCTGAAACAACCCTCCTACTTCTTTCCTAAAGGTCATCTGTAAAACACAAATTTGGAGGACGGGAGCTAAATGAACTTCAGTGGAATTTTTATTACACAGTAGTACCTTCTCCAGGAAAAGACATTCCACCGCTGATCATTCGGTGATATGGTCACAGCATCCTTTTAACTAGTGGGTCCTGGGGAAAAGCCACTGTTCATCATCATCCCTATGATTGTTCACCACTGTATCCCCTCTACCCTGCTGGTGGTGTCAGGTTACATTTGTTAAATAAATTGGCTAATAATCTTCCCTCTTTAATTGAGCTTCTCCTAGATTTTGAGACCTCCCAGTTTACTCACCAGTTTCACAGTTTACCTCCTTGCAACATTTTCACAAAATCCTTATTGCATTTGCTTTCTATTGCGCTGTAATAATTAACCACATATTTCATGACCTCATATGGCACAATGTTCTTCACACTTCTGTAGGTGAGAAGTCCAGCATGGCTCTCGCTGGGCTGAAATCAAGGTGTCTGCAGGCTGGGTTCCTTTCTGGGTGGCCCAGGGAAGAGTTTGTTTCTTGCTCATTGTGATTGCTGGCGGGATTGAGTTTCCTGCAGTTGTGGGACTGAGGTGCCATTCCTTGCTGGCTGTCAGAAGAAGCTGGGAACACTGCAGGCTGGGAACATCTGGAGTTGTTCTCACAGGAGGCAGATGTGAGGGAATGATTCGGGTGAATGGAATGGTGTGGGAACAGAGTCCCAGTCACGGAATACTTGCTAGTGGGGCTGTTGTTAGGGTGCTAACTGCAGCGTTGAATCGAGTAAGAAGGAAATTAGAGGTCTCCCAGGAAAGCATTTAGGTACATCCGGGGAATGTTAAGAAATGTTCCGTGGGGAGGTTTTTCTAGAAGAAATGTACACAATGGCTCAATTGGAATCTGTGGGGCACAGGAAGGGAGCATGCTGTGGGTGTGGCTGGACCCAACCAGACCATCAACTAGCAGACGGGAAGCCTCTGTTCACTGCCATTGTTCTGAAGACACCAGAGAGCAATCTCCGGGGGGAAAGAGCTTTGCCTCTCACTCAGTGGCCTAAGGACTCTCACTGTGTATTTTCTGAATGAGGCACGAGGTCTCCATAATAGCTGCTGCAGGTGAGTCTTGCTCGTCCTCTACCCCAGCCCCTCCCTGCGTCCCCCAACTCTCCCGCCCCCCTGCCCCCCTAGAAGCGCAGCAACTTGAAGAGATTCCTTGGCTTTGGGAGGAGGGTGCTTGTGTTCAACTCAACTGCCCACTCCCAACCCCAGCCACACACATACAGGCCTCTGTCCCAGTAGTTAGCAGCGATGCTAAAACGCACAGGGAATCAATCGCAAGACTGTAAAAGAATATATATATATATTTTTTTTTCTTCTTCTTCTTCTTCTTTTTTTGCCTTGTCTCTGAAAAGAAAAAAAAAAGAACTAAAAAGGCCAGATAATCCCAGAAAGCTAATTCGCAGCTGTGCCTGTTTAATGCTTCAGCCTTTTCTGTGTATTCTACCCAGCAACTGGTGAGGAGTAGACTCGGGGATGCCATTGGCTGGCTGGCCCGCCGCCGGCCAATCCTGGACTCCGAACGGTCACTGGAAATCTTGGGATTCCGGTCACAGAGGACACCGGGTCCCAGGTCGCCAGCCCCACACAGCACTTGAAGGAGCAGAGGACAAGTTTTCTTCTCCGGTCGGAACGGTGTTCTCTCCAGTCGTGACCGTGCCCATGGAAGGAGCAAAGAGCGAGACTACCGGAAAGTCACCGTTTGAGCGTCAGCGGAAGACGGAAGACGCCAAAGTGAATTCCGCCAGGTGGGACGGGAGGGGGGCTGCACTCCGGGTGGGGCTGGGAGGACACCCGGGCGGGGAGGGCGGGTCCCGGGCGAGGGCCTTCCTGGGGCCCCGCGCCCGCCCACACCCGGGTTGCCCGGGCTGTACGTGGAGAAGGAGGAGGGGGAGGGTGTGGAAAGATATCAGGTGACCGCTGGAGAAACTCCTTCTGGCCTGAGCAGGCCCTTGAGCAGGGCGGATCCTGGTACGTTGGCTTCTTCCAAGGAATGCTCATGAGTCAGTCTGTGGGGAGACACCTGACCCGGGAGAGGAAGGGGGTGCCCAGGACACAAGTGTGGGCTCTCATGGTACTAACACGGGCTACAGGGACGCTTACCTAGACCTGGACTGTGGTGACAGGTCTCCCTGGCGATTTCTCCACGTCTGCTCCCCCAGGCCTGCAGTCCCGGCCTCCCCCGGGTGACTCCACTTGAGGCCATGGAGCCGGCTGCTTCCCCGCATGTCTCCCTGCCTGGCCCCCTGCTCTTCCTCCCGGTCCTGGGCCTGTCTGCACTGGTCTCAGGTAGGGCGCTGCCGCGGGCTCCCGTGGACTCGGAAGGGGAAGCCCACACGTTCCTCTGCGGTGATGTTCACCCCTGCTTCATCTGCACCTGTCCGCTTAGTTTATACCAATGCTGAGCAATGCAAACGCAAATGACCCCAAATAACCAGAATATTATCCTTCAAGCTTTTAATTAGTGCAAACGATTGATGAGACCTTTAATACTTTTTTATTCCAAATTATCGAATTTTTTGTTGACATCATGTTTCGGTTGGGACTGGCTAGTCGCTACCGTGTTGGACAGCTCCAGTTCCTACTTGGCTTCGGGCACCAGGCTGTCCGAGGGAACAGGAGAAAACCTCTGTAAGCACAGGCTCTGTAGGTGCTCCGTGCGTCTTCTCTGTGTTCTGCTCACCAAGCACCAGCAGCCTCAACAGAAACTTACTAGACATCTCTCTCTTTTTATTTTAGTAATTAAAAAAATCTTAATTGTATTGCTTTTAGAGAGAGAGAAAGACATTGATTTGTTGTTTCTCCCATTTATACATTCATTGATTCTTTAAAAAAAATTTTTTTTTTATTGATGTCAGAGAGAGAGGACGGGAGAGGGAGAGAGATAGAAACATCATTGAGAGAGAACATGTATTGGCCACCTCCTGCATGCTCCCCACTGGGGATCAGGCCCACAACCTTTGCATGTGCCCTGACCGACCGGAAATTGAACTGGCCACCTCTTGGTGCGTGGGTCGATGGTCAACCACTGAGCCATACCACCTGCGCAATTGGCTGATTCTTGTATGTGTGAATGGAACCCACAACCTTGGCATGGGAGGACAATGCTCTAACCAACTGGGTTAACTGGCCATAGCCCTTACTAGGCATCACTTGCTCCATCCAGCCACAGCTACTAGCCCCAGAATCCTCAGCCCAGGAAAAGCTGTCCCCTGGAAGAGCCACTTCCTTCTCTGCCTTAAATGTTGGACAGCTGGTGCCCCACCTGATTCTGCCCCTTTGTTGAACAGCCCAGTTTACTGTAGTGGGACCAGCTGATGCCATTCTGGCCATGGTGGGAGAAAACACCACGTTACACTGCCACCTGTCACCTGAGAAAAATGCCCAGGACATGGAGGTGCGGTGGTTCCGGTCTCAGTTCTCGCCCGCGGTGCTGGTGTACAAGGGGGGGCGTGAGAGGGCAGAGGAGCAGATGGAGCAGTACCGAGGACGAACAACCTTTGTGAGTGAAGACATTAGCAAGGGGAGGTTGGGCCTCATCATTCACAATGTCACAGCCCGCGACAATGGCCTCTACCGCTGTTATTTCCAACAAGGCAGGTCCTATGATGAGGCCGTCATGCACCTGATTGTGGCAGGTATGTCATTTCTCTTCATTTGGTGGCTTTGCACAGTGTGACTCTTGGGGAAAGTTTCTCTCTGAACCTCAGGCCACCTGCAGAACAGCAGATTTCCACCCAGGGTCCCCTTTAACTGGGAATGGAGGCTTCCTCCTGCCTGAGGGCCCAGTGAGTTGAGTTGTCCCACTGAGCTGTGAGCATCAAGTGTTGAGAAGCACATTGAACTCAGTGGGATCCTTGAGCAGCAGAGAGCGTTTAATCCTACAGATTATGCTCATGCTAATTTTTAGAGATCTCTAAGCGTCTTCTCCGGTAACATGCTTTAGAATGAGACATTAAGACATAGTAATCTGTCCCCAGGCCTGGGCTCCACGCCCCTCATAGAAATGAAGGGCCACGAGGATGGGGGCGTCCGGCTGGAGTGCACATCCGTAGGGTGGTACCCAGAGCCCCATGCAGTGTGGAGGGACCCTTATGGGGAGATCATGCCCGCCCTGGAGGAGGCTTACACCGAGGACACGGACGGCCTCTTCAGGGTCACCATAGCTGTGATCATCAGGGACAGCTCTGTGAGGAACATGTCCTGCTCCGTCAACAACACCCTGCTCGGCCAGGAGAAGGACTCTGTGATCTTTATTCCAGGTTAGTTCCCAGCCCTCCAGAGACCCAGCCATGGAGCCAAAATCCTCAGCACACACATGGGAGCCTGACAGGGCTTGGGGAGGGACAGGGATGGGAGGGTCCTGGGCCCTGAAGAGCACAGGCTACAGCTGAGCTGAGGCCGTGCCCCTCATCACAGGTGGAACATCAAATAGTCTCAAACCCCTGAGTAAATTTTATATTTCCCCCCTATTATGGTTCTGATCCTGCAGCAATTTTTGAACATTGAGAACAACCATAACACATGTGGTTTTGTGACGTGGGTCACTGGGGTGGCCTCCATTTCATGGATCCCCATATATGAAGTAAGTTCATCAGCCCACCACAGGCAACACTGTGGGATTCTGAGAGAGAAGTGGACGTAGCCCACGCCTGAGCGAGCTCCTCAGATGTGCATCCCAGGGGTGCTCTAACCCCGTCCATTGTCTCACTGACTGGGACTTTCCTGGCCTCCTTCCAGAGCCCTTTATCCCCAGCACGTCTCCCTTTCCCTGGGCAGTGGCCCTGGCTGTCATCCTGCCTGCTCTGCTCCTCCTCCTCCTCGCCAGCATCTGTCTCATTACGAAACTCCTCAGAAGAAAAGGAACTCTGTCAGAGGAAAAAGATTTTGGAAATAAAGAGAAAAAAATTGCACGTAAGGAACTGGGGAAAGAATGTGGGGGACAAAAGAGAAATAACATCTAATAAAAGTTAAAAGATTAAGAGGGCAATTCAATGTCATTTCAAGGACACAGCTTGGACAGCTGGAGCCTTGGGGACAGAGAGCGAAGGGACAGCAGGCAGGGCTCAGAGCTCTGTGTCCCAGTCACTTACCCTCTGACTCACTTTCGCCCTCCTCAAATGTGGCATCCAACTCACCTGGCTACAGAGAGCATTCTATTGTTTGGAGGGAAAAAGGAAACCTAAACACATACTGATAAGATCCAGCTACCTGGTCCATAGTCATTTCTGGAATCTGGACAATTTCCTGGATGTGGAGGAGGGTACGGTGCCTTGACAGAAAGAGCCAGTCCTGTGTTTAATACAGACTCCAATCCGTACTTCTTCTGTGAGGACTTTCATTGGTTTCTGTTTATTTTTCAGAGCAACTTCAAGAGGAGCTGAGTGAGTTTGTCATTTTCCTAACTACTCGGTACACAATGTGTATTCTGTCGGTGACTATTATCTCATGAAGCTCACTCTCTGTCTGTCCCCTTGCAGCATGGAGAAGAGGCCTCTTGCATGCTGGTGAGCTCCTGGGACAGTCCCCCACATCCTGAGCTTCCTCCTCCCTAGTGAGACAAAGGGACACGTGAGCTGAGAGAAATAAGAGCGCCAGTGGGGGCCGGGGGGGGTGGGGCGGCTGGGTCAGTTCCCCAGCAGCATCCCTACTATTGCATGATCCCAGCTCTTCCAGCAGGGAATTCCCTGGGGTCTCAGTCAGCTCTTCCCCTCCTTCCCATCCTTATTTTTTACCATGATGTCATCCATGATTGCCAGAGGTCAAGCACACAGAGTGGACTTCGCTAAAGGTTGTGATTGAGTAGTTGTTGCTCTTTGTTTTTTTAATTGATATTTTAGAGGGAGGAAGTGAGAGGGAGAGAGACATAGAAACATCAATGAGCGAAAACATCGATTGGCCACCCCCTGCACGCCCCCCACCTGGGATCAGCCCCACAACCACGGCATGAGCCCTGACCGGAAATTGAACCGGTGACTTCTTGGTGTGGGTTGACACTTAACCACTGAGCCACACGAGATGGGCAGTTGTTGCTCTTTGGAACCTGGATTAATTTGAGAGAAGACAATAGTGGCCGAGCTAGTTATATCCTGGGAGATGGTACAAGGTGCAGAGTGAGAAGAAATGTGTGGGACAGGCAGTGAGCTGCCCCAAGCCTGCCTAAGGGCTGGACAAATAGGTGTCAGAAATGCCTTCCTGCCCAGGAGAGCACTGGTGCTGTGTACAGCTGGGAAGGGCAGCCCTGGCCAAGCAGGGGCCCACAGGATCCCCTTTCCTCCACGGATGAGCACCTTGCATTTATGATTCATCATCTACTCAAAGGCATCACAGCATCCAGGCTTCACTAGATGCCATGGTGCTTGGACCTTTCCTCTAGGTGGATTTCACAGCTGTCACAGTTGGACATGTCCGTGTGGGGAAAGGAGAAAATGGAGATGGAGGCCGATGAGTAACAACTGTAGGGGGGAAGTTCTCAGAAGGTCAGGTCCGGAGCTCACCCTGCACCCAGACAGGGCACTTCAGACCCGAGTGTAAAGCAAAGCTGGATGGAAATAGTGCCCCATCTTTTGCCAGACACACCTCTCAGGTGGCAGGTTGGCATTTGGGGACACTGACCTCTTTTTCTGCCTCTGAAGAGTGCCCTTATTAGTCATTTATGTCACCTGGAAAGTTGGTGTAAATAGGGGCACAAGAATAGGACCCTTTACTGCGCAGCCTCTGTGTCGGGAGAAATCGGCCTTAATTGCTTTCCTAAGAGTAGAGAGGGCACAGGGTCTCCTTACTGCTTTATGGTAAGTTGGAAAGTTTCCAAAAAAGAGATTCTCAGAGATCACATAGAAAGAAGGACAGGTCTGAGAATGTGGACAGAAAGTGGGAGCCATTAATTTCAGCTCATGTGCTAAACTGTCTTCATTTCTTAGAGCCCCAGTTATCCTCAACCTGAGGCCCCACTCCCGTCACTCAGGAGGTACAAGTACAGCCTCAGGAGTTCTCAGTCTGAGAGCCTCCTGGATCTGGATGAAGGGCCTTTATGGAGATCTCACTCCGTGAGGGTGTCCCCTGCCTTCTGGGACCTCTCTCAGACCCAGTCCTAAACCTGAGACTTTCTCTGCAGCTGATGTGGTCCTGGACCCAGACACCGCTCACCCTGAGCTCTTCCTGTCAGAGGACCGGAGAAGCGTGAGGCGGGGCCCCTGCAGGCAGAGCGTGCCTGACAACCCAGAGAGATTCGACTGCAGGCCTTGTGTCCTGGGAGCAGAGAGCTTCTCCTCAGGCAGACACTACTGGGAGGTGGAGGTCAAAAACGTAATGGTGTGGGCTGTGGGGGTGTGTAGAGACAGTGTGCAGAGGAAAGGGGAGGCTCTGCTGGTTCCTCAGAATGGCTTCTGGACCCTGGAGATGTTTGGAAACCAGTACCGGGTCCTGTCCTCTGCCGAGAAGATTCTTCCCCTGAACGAGCGCCTGCGCCGGGTGGCCGTCTTCCTGGACTATGAGTCTGGAGATGTCTCCTTCTACAACATGAGGGACCGGTCACACATCTACACGTGTCCTCGCTCACTCTTCTCTGGGCCCCTGAGACCCTTCTTCAGGCTGGGGTCTGATGACAGCCCACTGTTCATCTGCCCAGCATTCAAAGGGGCCCAGGGGGTCACAGTGCCTGAGGGTGGCCTGGTCCTTCACAGGGCGGGGAGCCCCCGCAGCCACCTGGACCAGTTCCCTGGTCTCAGAGCCCAGTAGAGAAGCCCTGGCCATCTCTCCTAGCACAGCACAGCGCCCGGAGGAAACGGCCCTCCTTCCTCTGGTCACTTCAGGGAACCTCCTCCAGAGGCCCCGGTGCCCCTCTTCGGGCCCCAGCCCCATCTCCCTCCTCAGGCTGTGCTGTAATAGCTCAGTTGCTTGTCACCTTGGGGCAGGGGCCAGGCTCAGGGAAACTAGTGCTTCGACATGGCTCCCAGCCAAGAAGCAAGTGTGAGACAGTGACAGGCGGAAAGCCTCTGCTTTAACCTCAGGGTGACATGTTCAACATGGGACTTGAGCTGCCATCGGACACTGTGGACGCGGGATGAGAACAACAGGATGCACCAGGACCTAAGGGGACTGGTAAGGGCCCGGGCGCCACTGCTGGAGGTCGGAGACAGAGGACGAGGGGCCAGAGAGCTGGCGGGCCCAGGCTGTCAGCAAGGTTAAGCCCCATCATGACGGCCAGGGGTCCCAGCATCTGAAGGTCCATCCCGCCCACCCCCAGATTTGCAGACCACACAGGAAAGCTCCCCTGGCCTAGAGGATGAAAGACAAGGACAGCTCTGGATCTGTCCTGGCTCAGGTGTCCCTGCAATAAACATTCTTGGTCACTGAGAATGGCCTGAGGTTGAAGGTCCTGGCTGAGCAGTTGAGCAGTGAACCAAGTTAGGCACAAGGTCCAGGTTCAGTGGGGAGGCCAGTGGTTTCCAGCTTCTTGGTCTCACCATGCCTTTAATACTCAAAAATCTTTGAGGACCCCAAGGAATTTGTGCTCATTTCATTTATATCTGCTAGTATTTACTATATTGGACTGAAAAGTTTATAAGTATATGTATTGATTTATATTTAAATGACCATTATAAACCGATTACATGCTAATATATATAATTTTGTGAAAAATTACTTGTTTGCAAAGCAAAATAAATGCTAGTGAGGTGTGTGGCACTGTGCCATTTGTTTTGCAAGTCTGATGTCAGGCTTAATAAAAAACTGGATTCTCAGATCTGTTTATGTAATAATGTGGAAACTTGTGGAGAATTTTTATAAGAGTTAATGAGTCAAACTGACAGCATTGCCAGGGAGCAAGATCTCAAATGCTCTGGAAAATAACAGTTTTGCAGCTTTTCTGCATTCGGAATGAAGGAGGGAACCTAAGGATTGTAGGAAGTGGGAGAGAGGAGAGTTAAGGAGACCATGTGCTCCTTGGAGGGTGATCATGCTCCAAGGGGTCTGCAAAGGAGGATCAGGGATGTGTTAACCTAGATGCACAGGACAGTGGGTGGGTTTCCTTAAGGCAACAGTAACCTTTTACTAAAGAATTATAGGCCTGGGGCTCAGTACCCACCATGACCTGCCCAGTTAGGGGTTTATGGTCAGATCACCCTGTGAGGTTACTGTGGGTCACCATTTGTTACTAAAACTATTTCACTTGCAACTTCAGAGCCTTGAGAACCAAACAGAGCGAGACACACCTTAAAAACCAAAGTCCAGGCTGACGGGTGTGGCTCAGTGGTTGAGCATTGACCCATGCACCAAGAGGTCACCAGTTTGATTCTTGGCCAGGACACAAGCCCAGATTGTGGGCCGGATCCCCAGTAGGGGGCATGCAGGAGGTGCCAATAGATGTTCTTTCTCGTTAATGTTTCTATCTCTTTCTCCCTCTCATTTCTGTTCTCTCTAAAATCAATAAAGGAAAAAAAAATTTTATGTACAAAAACCAAAGTCCAAATAATTTCTGATTTTGTTCTCTGCATGGGGAATTTCCTGTGTTACAATCTCCTTATTTTTCCTAGCCCTGAGGAACCCTTCTCATTTAAAAAAAAAAAAAAAAAAACCTTCTGGGAAATTGCCACTATTTGTGCTGTTTGTTGTCTCCCTGGAAGTGTTGCCCTCATGCCCAATAGCAGTCTTTATTTGGCCTTGTCAGAGCCTTTTCTTTAGGGGTATTTCTGGAAACCAATCAGTGGCAGTTATTTAACTTGCACCTGCCTGAGACCATCCACAACAACTGGACCAAAAAAACAGGCTGCCCTTGCCAGTTTGGCTCAGCAGTTAGAGTTGGTCTGCAGACCTAGGAGTCTCAGGTTCCATTCTGGTCACGTACCTCGGTTGCAATTCAACCCAGCCCTGGTCGGGTCGTTCGGGAGGCAAGCAGTCAGGAGTGTCTTTCTCACGTTGATGTTTCTCTCTGTCTCCCTCCCACTCTATCTGATGATACACGGAAAAATATCCTCGGGTGAGGGTTAAAATAAATAAATAAATAAATAAATAAATAAATAAATAAATAAATAAATAAATAAATAAATAAATAAATAAATAAAAAATAATAAAAAATATAGCCCTGGCCGTTTTGGCTCAGCGGTTAGAGCGTTGGCCTGCGGTCCAGAGAGACCTGGGTTCAGTTCCCGCTAAGGGCATGTACCTTGGTTGCAGTTTGTCCCTGACCCTGGACGGGTCGTGAGGGTGGCAACCACTCAATGTGTCCCTTTCACATTGATGTCTCTCTCTCTCTCTCTCTTTCTCCCACTCTATCGGAACAAAAAATGGAAAAGTGTCCTCGGGTGAGGATAAAAAAAAATAATAGGCTAACCACTGCTTATGAAAGAGTAGTCTGCCTCCAGTTGACCAATAAGCTCCTTTCTAAACAATTGACAGTACAACTCAGCCAGCAGATACGTTAATCAGCCACCCAGGGCAACCACTAGACTTTGTACCCTAAACTCCCACCTCTGACGCTAGTACCATCTTCGGAGGCTTTAGCCGCCCTGATCTCCCTGCTTCCCCCACCACTTATTTGTGACAGGAGGGTATTCAGCATGGGAAATTGGGATTTCCCCAACTTGTTCTACAAATGAAGTCTTGAAACCCCCTTTCCTACAGAATGGAAAAGTTCAATTGTATGCAGGTCAGCTGCTCTTCACTTCTTAGAGACTCTGAGATCTGTAATAACCTGCTCCTATCACTTTGTCCTGATTAAGTAAACCAAAGGCCAACTAGGAAGCTTTCAGAGGCAACCTGAGGGAGTACCAGCTGGCCTGATACTCCTCTAAATGAATGTGTCCTCTAAGCGAATTTGTTCGTTTTTAGAACTTAGATAATAGAATGAATAGCAGGACAGATGTGTGCTGACCCAGTTCACCCAGTTCCCTTTTGCCTCAGCTCCCTCCCACCTCCGTCCCTCCTGCTTATGGCTAACTGCCTCCGCTTCTGTACACGCAGCTTGCTTGCTCTGCTAAACTCTTGAATGACCGCTGTCCTATATAAGCAACCCTCCCCCTGAGCTGGGGGCTGCAGTTCTCCTCTGTGAAGGTTGGCTGCAGTCCCTGCACAAGTAATAAAGCTCCTAATATTCAAAACTACTGTGTCCCAGTGAAGTTGATTCTCTTGGGTTACAACATTTGGAGGCCCCAGCGAGGTCACTGCGAGGTCCCCCTCCCTTTGGGGTAGACCTCCTCGGACTAGGGGAAGGAAGCCTCCATACCCTTTGCCTCAAATTGGCTTTCGATTTGACCACGAGCTTTTCGGATCCGTCCCTGGACGGCTGGAGGTAAGGGAAACCCCATCCCTTTCCGTCTGCTTTCGGTCGTTCTCTCGAGAGGGCTGTATCGGGTGCTCCGCAGGCGGGACGCTGCAGAACTGCCTCACCCCGGTCGGGACGGGACGCCGGTCCCGGCTTATGGTTTCGGATCCGCTTGCGGATTCGGATGGTGAACGAATGAAAGTGGGCGCTCACTGTCTGTTATTGTCTGTCCTTGTGTTGTTACTGTCGTGTGCCAGCTACTTTCCTTTCCTACAGAAGGGGAAGCCCTTCGAGTAGCGAAGGCCCGAACCCCGCTCCAGTGCCTGCTGAGTAACTTCTCTGATTTCTTTAAGGCTCCTGTGACTATGAAAAGCCTGCCGACCCTGGTTTCCTGAGAGCACTCTGTGAATTTGAATGGCCTGCCTATGGGGTTAATTGGCCACCCGAAGGTAGTTTCAATTTGCAATTGGCTTTTATGGTCCATCAGAAAATATACAGGAGCCCTGGCCACCTGGAACAAATGCCATATATTGATATTTGGATTGACATAACTACTGACAAACCCAATTATAGTAAGAAATGTCAGTGTCCAGAGGTTCAAATGAAAGGAAAAACAGTTTTGTTAACAATGCCTCAGCCTGCCCTGAAGGGCAGTAACTCCTCCCAGCCCCCAAGGAAATTCTATCCCGTCCTTCAGGAACCCCCCTGAGGATATACTAAAATGTTAATTAACCTCAGTTTGCCTACTTTGGGTTCTTATTACAGAAAAGCTAGAAGATGAATTTAGATCTATTAATAATCTATTGATTCGAAAAATGTCTATTGAAAATATGAATATATTTGCCAATCAGAGGAATGTTAATTCCTTGTACTTTTCAAAAGATAAAAAGAATTCAACATTTCTAAAAGTTAAAAGTTCAGATAAAATTAGAAAGAAATTATATGGTTTTGATGAAAAAAATATAAGATATGAAAATATATATATTCTTTAAAAGAAAATTATTCTAAAACTGGTTATTTTTTAATAGATAAAAAGGTTTATGAAAGTTAAAAGATTTATTTAGAAAAATCTTAGAAAGAAATTATAAATAAATAAATAACAAATTTAACAAGCTACATGAATCTAAAATAAATTAATATAGAATTTATTTGGTTCTTTTCCAGCCTGTTTAAAGGGAAAAAAAGTTTTTTCCCAATATTTGCCTGGAAACAAAAGTTATATATATTATTGAAATGGTTTTATGTTATGTTAATCAAGTACTTGATTCCTTAAAGAACCATTTTCGTAATCATAAGAACTGAAGTTTCACTGACCTACGTTTATGTTTAACATCTGTCATTGTCACTTTAAATGAATAAATAATTGAATACTATTTAATAATAAGAATACTATATAATCTTTTGGTCAAATATGTTTGACAACCTTTCCAGGATTTGAATTTTAAGAAACTTTTTCTTGACCTAGAATTACTTTTGAGTCTTTCAATAGGACCTGGAATTCCTCAAAGATTTGTTTTCTCTCCTTATGAAAGGAAACCAATCAGTGTAGATGGCTTAACACAGTCTGTTTCCCCACTGGTGTACGGGTAAGGGAACAATAGACTCCAAATGCAAGAGCATACACACTACTAGGAATGATTATTTGTTCACTTAACAGATGAATAGAATGACTCTTATATGTGGGTCTCTACTAATGCTATGGGTTATGCAAACAGTCCTCACTTTAAAGGGGCTTATAATATATTTTGTAAAGTCATGTTTGGATTATTTAAAGAAAGAACATGATTAAGCCCCAGAGACCTGAAAATCAAGCTCTTTTTAGTTTAAGAAAGTTTTTTCTTTCATGGTGCGATAATGTACTCACATATAAAAAGAAAAAAATGGATCTGAGCTATGGTTACTATAACATGAATCAAATGACACCACTGATGTACTTGGGTCTCCACCTGAGAAGGGCTTTATGAAAAGAAAATTATAAAAATAATAAAGATTTTAGATTTATGAATGATAGGAGATAAAAAATTGACATGAAGGAATAAAAAAGATGGTGATTCTTTGCCGCTTTCTCCTGCCTGTCGGAAGGGAAGGCTTCCCTCAGAGCCTCAGTTGTTATGTCCCCTGTGTATGGGAGGACCCAATGTCTGAATGGATATGGATGTGTTCCAACGTACTGGCTTCTTTATGTTGAGGTCTCCACGCCTCTCTGCAAGGCTTATTAACATTCTCACAGGCAAACTGTTTAACCATTGAAATGCCAGCTCGGGCTGCTTCTCCGCAGCGGGTGTGATGGCAACTAGTTTCCAACAGGCTTCTCTGAACTTTGGGAAGTTGAATATAAGAATCCCAAGCACGGATACGAAGTGCTCTTAGAGAGTTAAAAAACACTCTGCCCCGCATAAACATACATGTTAGGACGTCGCTCCCCTTTTCTGTGTCCTTTTGTAAACCTGGGGTCAGAGGAAATGTTTCCATTCCTCTGCCCACAGTAGGACCCAAATACTGTCGGGGAAGGGCTTCCTTAGACACTTTTCACGGTGTTCTCCTGTTAGGCCTATTGGCCCAATTGACTGAATTAGCAAAGGTAATAATAACAGCCTTAAGGGACACAGGGCCCATAGAAAAGGATCACCCTAGGAAGGGAAACATAAGGAAGGGTCAGGACAACAGGCCTAGGTCCCAGTTAGGAATAGAAAAGACAAGGACAAAGTCAGGTGTAGAGGAACAAAATAAAAAGCCGTCCTTAATTTAGGAAAATGACAGGGCTAGGGCTCCTCCCAACTGAGCCCTCCGGAGCCCAGAATAATACTAAATAATAGAGGACAAACTAGTTAGTTTCCTGGTAGATACTGGTGCAGCAGACTCAGTCTTGACCAAGCCAATGGGGCCCTAACCTACCCCTGGACTTCAAAGAGGACTATAGACCTTGGAAAAAATACTGTGACTCATTCATTTCTGTTCCTGCCGGAGTGCCCATACCCCCTACTCGGACAAGATCTCCAGAGATCATTCAATTGTTGGCCACTGCCACTCCAGGCCAGCCCCCGCATCAA